TGGTCAAAGCGAGGTAGGTCTGTTTTCCCCCCAACTAAGTGATCCCAGTCGAGATGCCCGAGGGCCCCGAGGCCTCGACGCTGCAGAGGGGCAGGCCGCCGCCGTCGCCGTCGCCGACGCTGCCGCCGCCGCCGCCGCCTCGAGCAGGGTGGTGCTCCCTCGGGGGTCCCTGGGGGCCTCGCCTCGTCTCGGGCCCCCGGGGCCCTCGAGCATCGGTCCGGGACCGAAGAGAACACTTGACTTGCATGTGCCGCAGGATTCAAAAGGGAGGGGGAGGGGGGGAGCTAAGCCCCCCCCCCCTTTTTGGAAAAGAGGAGGGGGTGGCGGGGAGCTTCCGGAGCGCGAAAGGGGGGCAGGGGGTTAGCGTTCCAGGGGCAACAAAAAGGGGGGAGGGCTTCCGGCAAGGGACGTCCATGGGGATGGGGGTGCGGGGGGTGCGGTCGTGGGACGGCATGGGGCCGGCGGCGGCTCGAGGCTCGCAGGTCGACGGCTGCGTCGTTGGGGGGGGGGGCCCTGGTGGGGCTCTCCTGGGCTTGGCATCGCTCGGACGTGTGCATTTTTCCTTCGGCGAGGACCATCGAGGAGCATCCTTGATCCTGTGGCGAAACAAACCACGCACGAAACCGAAAAGAGCACTGGGAATGGACGTCCGAGCGATGGCGAGTGGGCCCCGGTGGCCACGGCCCTCTGCCGGGAGAGGTAGGAAAGGCAGGCTGCGATCCCCAGGGGGCTGTCCGGGCCGACCCCACGCGGGGACGGAGGCCCCCCCGTCGTGAGGTCTCGGAAGCCCCGCGCGGTCGCCGTGCCCCCGTCACTCTCAGGAGGAAACAAAAACACACACACAGACACAATTAATCCTCGATTCCCCAGAAAATATGGGAAAATATGGGAAGTGGGGGGGAAGACAGAAACCCAGAAAATATGGGAAAATATGGTGAATCTGTTTATTTGTGTGTATTTATTTGTGTGTCCTGGGGCCCCTTCACTCGTCCCCCAGGATCCACCAGGCTCGAGCGACCTGCGCTAGCGGTCCTCCAGGACCGTCCCGCCGAAAACCACAAAAAAAGTCGGGGACTAGGGATTGTCATACCTCCCAGTCGGCGGCCCGGGATCGGCTGATGCCGAGCGATCTGCATCGTCTAGGGGGCCACATGCGAACCCTACCCCTACTCCTCACGATTTCTGAGGGGGAGGGTGGGGTTCACTTCGCACGGGAGCTCCCGAGCGAAGTGAACCCCGCCCTCCCCCTCAGAAATCGTCGGGGGTAGGGGTAGGGTTTGCATGCGGCCCCCTATTATCAGTCGTCCAGGATGGTGCAGCCGAGAGTCCCCCAACGTGGGGAACTGGGGTCGCCATGCCCGGCGGCGCGCTGAAGAGGGTGGCGCCAGGGATTGGCGCTCTGAGGAGTCCGGGGGGCTTCTTGGAAGTCAGCGGGGCTTCCTTGTACAGTCGGGGCGCTGAAGAAGGAACCCTTTTCGTTTGGGAGGGGCTCAGTGTTCCTTAGCTGTTTTGCAGTTTGCCTTCGGTGTTCCTTAGGTTTTCGATGGGCAATCGAAGCTTAACTTGTGGAGAAAAGGGGCCTCGTTCCTTACTTAGGGTTCCTTCGGTCAACACCCCGACTGTGAGCGCCCGGCGGCGTCTGAGCAGCCTCGTCTGAGGCCCCCGGGGCCCTTGGGAGAACGCCCCTGCCTTCTCCAGGAAAGACAAGAACGCACCGATGCAGACAATCGTCGATCCCTCTCTGGACAGCTGGAACACCTGGGAAGCGGCAGAGCAGACGAGCGTCCAGAGCATCGGGGAAGTGGGGGGAATCCCAGGACTCGTGTCTCTTCCTTCGTGTGCCCCTGGGCTTATGTCGGGCGTGTCCCCCTACAGGGGGATTTCCGACGAAAAATCAAAAATACCCCCCAAATGCTACAAAAAATAAAAAAAACAAAAGAAATAGTCCCCAGACTATTTTCGGAGTATTTCCCAACCATCCTGTGGTGTTGGGTCCTCGTTTTGAAGAGACGGTGCCCCGCGTCTCCTTCCTCCTCCCCCTCCTCCCTCCTCCCCCATCCTGGCTTTTGCTCTCCGCATGTCTCTGTTTCGGCGCACCCCTCACACGTTTCGTGGCCCCATAGGGAGCTCCACCTAAGGTCCCAGTGGCGGAACTCGCATGGCGCCGCCGCCCCATTTTGGCACACCCCTCACACGTTTCGTGGCCCCATAGGGAGCTCCACCTAAGGTCCCAGTGGCGGAACTCGCATGGCGCCGCCGCCCCATTTTGGCACACTCCTCACACGTTTCGTGGCCCCATAGGGAGCTCCACCTAAGGTCCCAGTTGCGGAACTCGCATGGCGCCGCCGCCCCATTGTGGCACACCCCTCACACGTTTCGTGGCCCCATGGGGAGCTCCACCTAAGGTCCCAGTGGCGGAACTCGCATGGCGCCGCCGCCCCATTTTGGCACACCCCTCACACGTTTCGTGGCACCATAGGGAGCTCCACCTAAGGTCCCAGTGGCGGAACTCGCATGGCGCCGCCGCCCCATTTTGGCACACCCCTCACACGCGTCGTGGCCCCATAGGGAGCTCCACCTAAGGTCCCAGTGGCGGAACTCGCATGGCGCCGCCGCCCCATTTTGGCACACCTCTCACACGTTTCGTGGCCCCATAGGGAGCTCCACCTAAGGTCACAGTGGCAGAAGTCCCATGGCGGCGCCGCCCCATTTTGGCACACCCCTCGAAGGACCAGGATGAAGGATGAGGACGAAGAGGAGGAGGAGGAGGAGGAGGAGGAGGAGGAGGAGGAGGAGGAGGAGGAGGAGGGGGAGGAGGACGAGGAGGACGAGGAGGACGAGGAGGACGAGGAGGACTCCGCTCAGGCTTACCCGGTCTCAGTCTCGCGCACTCAGAGCGATCGTCTTTGTTCGTATTGGGGACCCCGCCACGCATTTCGGCACGCCCCCTCACACGGTTCGTGGCCCCATAGGGAGCGCGAGCGAAGATGAGATCCACAATCACGGTATTCACAATTGCATATGGTTGGGTCCTTCGCCAGGCTAATTTTTGATTGTTTTTAGGGTATTTTCTAGTTTTCGTCGAAAATCCCCCTGTTGGGGGACAGGCCCGACTTAACCCTGGGCCCCCCTCGCTTCTGAGGAGCGGCCTGTGCGCGGCGCAGAGAGCACGGGGCCGTCTGCACGGGCACGGGCGCGCAGGCGGGCTGCCCGCGCGAGGTCGCGCGCGAGCGCCCGCGGATTTTGGTGTGGTGCGCCGCGCGGGCGGCCCGCGAAGGCTGCGTCGTGAGGTCTCTGTGTGATCGCGCGTAACCGCTTCTTCTTGGCTGAGCCAGTCGGGGACGGAGGAGGTGGAGGATGAGGAGGAGGAGGGAGGAGGAGGAGGAGGAGGAGGCGGAGGAGGAGGAGGACGAGGAGGAGGAACAGTAGTAGAGGAGGAGGAGGAGGACGAGGGAGGAGGAGGAGGAGGATAAGGACGAGGGAGTAGTAGTAGTAGTAGTA